CTTCATTCAAAGATAGCCTACTCCATCTAACTCAAGGACTTCATTCAAAGATGGCTTACTCCATCTAACTCAAGGACTTCATTCAAAGATGGCTTACTCCATCTTACTCAAGGACTTTATTCAAAGATAGCCTACTCCATCTAACTCAAGGACTTCATTCAAAGATGGCTTACTCCATCTAACTCAAGGACTTCATTCAAAGATGGCTTACTCCATCTGACTAAAGGACTTCATTCAAAGATGGCTTACTCCATCTAACTCAAGGACTTTATTCAAAGATGGCTTACTCCATCCAACTCAAGGACTTCATTCAAAGATAGCCTACTCCATCTAACTCAAATATGCCTGTACAACATAAATAAATCTCGAGTCTGAAGGATTTATCAGTGATAAATGATTATTTTTGGTTCACTGTAATCACCATGGTAACAAAACCAAATAACAAAAATATACAAAAATACACAAATGCCATGATTAACTTGATATAGTAAGATTATACAAATACTTAACAAATTCAGTTAAAACCATGATTAAGTTGACAGAAACATATCACAAGTTCAGTGTGTGCATCACCATGGTAACCAAACTAAATAACAAATATACAAAATAATTAAATTGAGTTAAAAACATGATTAATCTAACACAAAAAATGTAAGCGAGGTCACCTCTAGAGGGCATCCTTTTTTCCAAAAACATGATTAGTATATGCACAATTGAATTTTTAAATAATACTTTCTACAAAACTTCAGAAAAATAACAGAACTTTAAAAAAATCAAATGTACTCAAAATATATATACATACATGAATAAGTTGAAATTGTGGATGAGAACTCACTTTAAAACGTTTTTATGAAAAGGCATAGCCAGCTGATAGCAAGATGAGAAGATAAGTTACACCTGTACTGTACTGTATATCCCATACACTACAATCTTTATACACTGACTGTCACTAATGGGACTTTATCGTGACATTGAACACAGTTCTCAAGTCATAACTTGTAATGTCACCAAAACAGACACATAATTTGGTTTTGTTGTAAGATTAGTACAACCAGTACAGACAAAGACTTTATGATTGACGAAAATATATCATCCCACCTTACAACTTCTTTTGAGATTGCCACTATCATGCCTTAATTGAAGCAACTGAAGTAAAATAAGCCCTCTAGTGGCAACATTAACATTTGTGACTGTCATAAATGTTGTCTATAGAGGGCGTACCACACAAGCAAAAAATCCACAGTTGATTGTATTTGATTGGTTTAGATTCAATGATTGACAATGGTACACCAGGTGTTAGGGGAAGGAGCCAATGATGATGTATATTCTGAGCAACTACAACATACCCCTGGATCATAATATAGTTTGCAGAATTTCTGAAACCATAAGGTAAATTGCAAAAAAAACATTTCATACAGTTATTCCACAAATGACAAAACACATTACATTCACAAATTGTCTGCAATAAGATTTTCTTATAAAGTGTGTGATATATGTATGTATGTCATTCACTGATTTAGATTTGTTTTCATCTAAACAAGTCATAACAAAACACAGTAAGATAATAAAAATAAATGTATGTAGACAATGTCTCACTTGATATGAATTTACACATGGTTTATGCACTACTGGTTCCAGGAATCTGTGAATTCTTCTTTTAAGTGTTACACCAGGAATCCATTCATCTAAAGAAGTTGACAAATAAAACGCTAACCAAGAAGGACTACTACACTCCCAGCAATCAACAATATGCAGAAAGTTTTAAGCAGAGGTTTTAGTGTTTCCATTTAAATTTTGTACCGAACATACTTATTTGTGTGTATCCAGGTCTTCTTTGAAAAGTCAAAAATATACCTGAAAATTATAAGAAACTGTTTATCTTCATTCACACTGATGTTGTTGGACATAATTTGTGATATTTTAGATTGGAGATCTTGGTGTCTATATGTAGATTATAAGACACTGCTAAGGAAAAAAATGTCAGAGAACATATCAACCACTATTTATATTGTGGCATCCATACTTCGCAGACTCAGTGATGTAGCGAGCAAAGCACTCAAAAATATTTGATGTAATATCTGATAAAAAAGTGTAAATATTGTATTAGAATATTAGTAACCCAACTCCTAAATGATGGCATTACTAAATCAGAAAGTGGCAACTACCGATTCATGGAGATGGTATCTCTTTCAGATGGTGCCACTCCGCGACAGGAACACGAGGTTTCGCGAGCATATCACTCCAATGCTTCTCTTCCTTCGGGCCACTCTTCGGCCCCAGGATAACGCCGCCAATAGTCTCGTTTCGACTAAGCCGATCTTTGTCCATGACGGTCACATAAAAGGTTGTATCCATGAGCTTGTCCACTGTGATGTTGAAAATAAATGACTCGTTGAATATTGGGTTCAGGTCACGGTGTTTGATGCGAGTTTTCTTCTTTTCAATTCTTCTTCCTTTATACATTAACCAAATTTTCACATATGGATCTGTCAACAAGCAATTATAAATTGGTTTGTTATTTATTATAATAATACTCTAAGGAGAATAAAAATGTCATTAATTTGTTTGTGAGCATAAAACATATAGAATATGCTCAAAACATCATAATAGTGAGATTAAACATCTAATTTTTTTGCTGCTGAATCTTCTTGCATTCATGATAAACACTTGTTTTTCCAATTCTAAAATTTCCAACCCCACTCAATGTGAATAATGGTCTACCCCTAATGGAATGATCTATATTTTTGACCTGATTTTCCTGTGAGATCCATTGCTTTTAAGTCTCTACACTTCAACACTACGATGGTAATCCGCCCTGCAGTTGGTGCATAACACAACGATAGTAACAGCTCACCTGATGATTGCTGAGAAAAAGACAGATAAATCATACACAATGTTATGACTACATAGACTTAAAATGTAGTACGGTTACAAAGCATGAAAATGAATGTATATTATGGAAATAGCTCCAAAAATCTTTATTTTTGCATATTTTTAGAAAGTTTTTCCACAAAAAAATATGTTATACTAGGAAAAGAATATTAGAAAGTTGATAACATGAGCACAACATTATGATACATATGTTGAATGCCAAGAATGAGCTTAAATAAAAAAAAAAAAAAAAACTATTTAAAATATTTTGGCTTAGCAAGTTATAAATGCAAAATTAAAACAAAATCCATGACTAGATAACCTTTGACCTCTAATGAACTCACCTTTGACCCTTTACAAGGAACCAGATTTTTCCAGTATGTTGTTGGATTGGTAAGGTCAAGCTCAGCCAATGGTAGATTGACCTCACCGATAGGATCATTTCGACTGAATCGGTCATAATCCAATATTTGTAAATGTAAAACTCGTTCTTGTAATTTATTATAAGGAAATTCTAAAATATAAGAAAAAATCAATAATTTAAAATTTGAAAGCTGCAGGACATGGGGATCTCATATAAAAACAGAGAGCTCCATTTATTTTCACAGCCATTTAATTTCACTATTTCACATTTTGCGTACCGTTATTTTTTAGGGGTTGGGTGCTTACCCAAGCAAATTGATTTTGACAAATAAATGGCATGTTTTTTTAAAAAACTGGTAACTAGCAATTTTTGATAAGTAAACTGAAAATGACATGAAATATTTACTGCATTTTACTTTTAACAGGTCATTGTCGAAGCGTAGTTTACACACGGTTACCGTGGTCTACACATTCACAACATATAAAAACGATTACCAGTATTCGTTAAGTAATGATCAAATTAATGGCATTTTGAAGGGGTGGGCGCTTTGCTGAATGTGATCCAGAATTTAAAAATTGGCCACTGGTTGTAAGTTCATGAACTTGGCAGGGGAGTTCTATAACTGTTATTTCATATGTTTATGTGTATTTAATTTAGCAGACTTTACTTATCAGTGAAAACAGCTAAATTAAAACCCAGTGAATAATTAGTGCTTTAACAGTACAAGATTCTTAAAGGCTCAACTGACATAGAAGCAAGAAAATCATATTGTCTGTGTTTGTTTAGATTTTCGTTTCATTTTACATTGATTTTTTTAACCTTTTCACCACTAGTTCCCTCGTTTCATCACAAATTCACAAAATAGTCTCGTTTATAGTCTGCACTTTCCTTCAGAAGATTGGGACAAAAATAGCCAAATATGTTGAGTAAAAACTGATAATTGACTCAGATTTTTTCTGTTGGCTCCAAAATTAGGGTTCTTTTTCCAGTAATATTGAAGAACATAAAAAACAAAAGCAGAAAATTTGGGAGAGAATTCTGGTTGTGAAAAGGTTAAAGGTCTTTTTGTTCCATTTTCTATCGGGTAAATTAAAGGCACATCACCTCTGTAACTGCACATATGAAAAGCACATAAACCATGAAAGCCCTTAGAATGTCAAAGTCAACTTTGTCACCTTTAACAAATTTAATTTTCTTAACTTTTTCATTTTTTTTTTGAATTTTGATTAAGACCTGCAACCAATTAAAAGTTATGTCCATTTGGTTAAAAATTGACAAAGAAAATGAAGAAAAATGCATTAAAATGTGTTGCAACAAGTTTTTGCTGAGAAAAATTATGGCATTTAAAAGATGATGATGAGTAAGCTATTAGTGACCTTTTACAGACAAGCTAATGAACACAAAAATATGACAATTATTATAAATCTGACATCGAAAACAATAGAATTCCCTTATTTAGAAATTGTGCGTCACATTTACGCAGAATTTGAACACTTTGCAATCTGCGCGTGAAAGAAATAGTAGCTTATCACTGAATGCAATTCAAAATGTTCCTTGTTTCTATCTGGGGCATCTCTAAATAAATTGGGAAAGTTTATTTTAGCTTGGCTAAATGCGCACATTTTGTCACCAAACATCATACAGTTATTTGTGAAATCAAAACAAACAATAACGATCAAACTGAATGAGAACATTGTTGACATTTCAAATAGTTAAGTTAGACTTGAATACTTACTTTCAAAAAGAAACATTTCATTCCATATCGGATTAAGTTTCTTCCGCTTGACCTTCGTTTCTAGTTTGCGTTTTTTATCTGGTAACAACATAATTTTTACAAATGGATCACTTGTGCCACTGAAATAGAGATTTGGATGGATTAATAACAAAGAATTCTCAAATCCAAGTCAGGATAACAGGTTTTCTATAGAGACTTCACAAACTTGTGTATGGAGATGGTGTGAACAGCACCCTCACAAACATTAATGAGAAATCCATTTGTTTTTACTAAAATCCAGTGTTTTAATATATTACGTAATTTGTAAAAAACTTTATTACGGCTTACAGAGGCACAGATGTCAAGATAAGTCATGTTCAAAATGGGTTCCATTCAATGTATATACAACGTGTAAAATACATAGTTTACATGAAATTAGAATATGTTCTGCACAACGACAATATAACGCAAATTGTTCATTTGAAGATTTGGCACGACTATTGATCACAATCCTGTGCATTAATAGCAGAATTTTAAAGAGCTAAATGCTCACCTGAAATCTTTTGCTGGAAGACTGACTGCTTTGAATATTTTAACAACTAAAGTTTGTTCTGTAAAATCATAAAATACTTGGAACTGAAGTCGTCCAAGACCGTGATCTATGGTTGCACAATCAGGTTCATCTGTTCCTTTCTCTTCTTCATACGCACCCTGTAAGGGTAAAGTATTCTGAAATTTAGATAAAATTCTGCAGTAGATCCCAAAACTAATAACAAATTTGATACAATCTTCTGTAAACTGGTTATAAGACAAAATTACATGAAAGTTGTTGTCGTATAACACCAGAGAAATTTTCACTACAAGAAAATTGTTTGAAATTTCCAGATTTGCAAAATTGCAGATTTGTTTATCTCAAAACTAAAGTCATTCATGGTATCTCCTCTATGCATCAACTTCACAAAAGGTCAAACAAATATAATAAAATTAATATTTACACACAAAAGTCATTTAATATTATTTTTATAGCAGTTTTTAGAACACCAACAGGTTGCCAAGCAACCCTCATCAGTCTCCATTCTTATTGCTAAGTGACGAAGGAATTTGAAACATCGCATTATAAAGATTTTTTTAAGAGCATAATTTATTTTAATCATAGGTTAATGATTTTAAGGAAATGTGTCTCCTTGGTGATAGTACTAACTAGTCCACACCTCCCTGTAGAATTTGTAGCAGTATTAGTGAAAATGACTAAATGCTTACTCAAGAAAGAAACTATCACAACTTTTCAGTGATTGGCACAGATATGATACCTTTTGATGACTTGCAAAATTTTGCTCACTGAATTTTTCCACTTGCCACCACTTATCCAACTTGAACTAAATTTTTATGAAAACGTACGTCACTTTGGCCATATTTTTATTGAATATATTCCATCTACTGGCGTAATTGTTTTTTCCCATAGAGGGTTGATGGTT